TTGTAGAGCGTAGTCTCACCTACGCGTGGATATAAAGAACGTCGAAAACGGAGTTCGTATGAAGAAGATATGAATTTTCAAAGTTTATTAAATAATTAATATTTAAATTTATTTATTATATCCGATATTATCCGAAGGGGAGTCACCGGACTCATTCGAAGTACGCTCAGCGTACTGGTGTACGCCTAACATACCACTCGAGTGTTTGGAGTGCGTATGCGATGGTGAAGAGGATCGATGACACACGTAGTGACGCCTCCGAAGGAGTACGCCCCGCGTAGCTGAGTACGCCCAGCGTACGCACGAGGCTCAGCCTCTATAAAAGGCATGCGAAGCCAGCTTCTTTCTTTTACAAAAGCCTTCCATTTTCTCTCATTTTTTGCCTCGTTTAGCGTGCCGTTTATACCCCGAAGCCCCGGTAATATTCCCAAGCCCCGAAGCAAGTCCCGAAGCCCCGAAGATCCCGAGAAGTGCGATTCCTGAGCCGAAGCTCTGCCCGCGAGGAACCCGGTTTTGTGAAGATCTTCCAGATCTACGGAGAAATACCACTTCTGCAAGCCGTAGTGCTACCCGATCATCTTCTGATTAAGTGAGTGTGTAGTCATTTACATTCCAACACAATATTATGAAGTATTTTATATAAAATACGTGTTATGTGTATATATTTTGTTGATATACGTGTGAATGTGTAGTCATTTACATTCCAACGCAATATTATGAAGTATTTTATATAAAATACGTGTTATGTGTATATATTTTGTTGATATACGTGTGAATGTGTAGTCATTTACATTCCAACGCTATATTATGAAGTATTTTATATAAAATACGTGTTATGTGTATATATTTTGTTGATATACGTGTGAGTGTGTAGTTACCTTCTTCTAACGCATAATTAATTATGAAGTATTTTATACGAAATACGTGTTATGTGTATATTTGGTTGTTATATGTGTGAATGTATACTCACTTTCTTCTATCTCATAGATCCGATTTATTCTCTATGAAACATGTGTTATGTGTGTGTGCCTCATCTGTTATGTGGAATATGTATTGATTGAACATGCTATATAGGTTTTAAACTATGTATAAAAATATATATTTTTATCTACTAATATGTTGGGTAGAACATGGGTAGATAGTTGATGTGTGATAAACAGATGAGAGACATCGATGTTCTTGTTGTTGACCTAGTCATGTAGCAGAGTATGGATGACGACCACAGACTCTTTCTAGACAGTCTTGTGGAACGCTAGCAGGTTCATAACCTGTAGGTGTTGTGAACGATGTGTTCACCGGTGTACTCTATCCCTTTCATGGTTGCCTTTAGGATATCTATTGTTGAGGAAACCCCTTAGCAGTAATGTCCGTCCCGATGAAAATCCTAGATTAGGTCCCTTGAGATAGATGTTGTTTTAGGGACGTAAAGTGAAGATAACGGGAATGGGTAATCGGGTTAGATGTTGGTTGGTGAAATTAAGTATAATTTATTTATTGTGGGTTGAAAACCCTATATGCTCACCAGGCTCCCAAGCCTGACCCACTCAGTTTTATTTGTATTACAGGAAGTGACGCAAGGGCATAAGATGGATGAATCATCGAGTTGTTTTGTTTACCAATCTGTATATGTATATATTTATTGAATGACTTGTAATATTATCGTTTATGCTTTATGGTCTGTATCGGAACATGACATCCCGAGTTTTGATTATATAATGAAAATGATCTCTTGATAAAATGCTTTGATAAATATTATTTTATCATATTTTGTTTTTGGGAACAAATTCTGCAACTCTTTTAAATCAAAATGATTTACTTTGAAATTATTTTAAAAAGCATAAATGAAATCGGTCTTTTCTGGCCGAGATTTTGGGGATGTCATAATAGAATGGTTGTATGGATGAGATGCCCTAAGTTCTCTTTAGACTTCAGACTCTGTAACATATAGACTTCTCTAAAACACACCTAGATCCCGAACATTGAATCTAGAACCACAACCAACATAGTACAAAACATATATGTTTTGGATAGTGTACTCATGAATGAAAAAAGTACACATGGGGCCCACTACCATTACACATGTTACATACAATAGGGTTATACGACTAAAACTAAGACTATGATGATTTAGAAGCCTATCTTGACTTCCAAGAAATTTGAGTGAGGTATAAGATCAAAGAAAACAACAAAGAACATATGTTAGATAACAACATTGAAGTTAGACCATAATTTAAATCGTCGAGACAAAAACCTGTCATGGTGGAACCAGACATAGCAACAACATCGTATAATACATCCCCAATAACAAAACCTCCTTCAACATAGCCCATTCGCCCCAAATATTAATTTAGGCAAACTGAGCAACCACAACCATCTTTCGAGCTTCACAAGTGCTTATTATTCCTTGGATTAAGATCATGAATATGTCTCCCTTTATTGACACCATCTAATAATACTAATTATCCTAAGGGGCCCTTCTATCACGCTATAACATCATTGTAATGTCGTGTTTTTCAACATAATTTTTATTTTTATTTTAACATTCAATTAATAGAAAACAACATCATAAGTCTTTTAAACAATATTTAAAAAAAACAACCACCAACGTTGCTTATAATTCAAAAACAAATCAAAATAAAAGTTCTTAATTCAAAAACAAATCAAAATAAAAATTCTTAAGTTTGATAAACTAACATATTGATATTGACTACCATGACAAGTCCAAATGTTATCAACTAAGCAAAATAACATACTACCTATAAGATCCCAACCTCACTAACATAAAAAATTAAGAAACATGTACCTATAGAAGGAAAACATGGCAAACACAACACGGAACAAGTGTTACCAACTGCTTAGTGAGCTAAATAGTCGTACCGTGTCAAACTGAAACATACAAATTCCCTTACCGGGTCAATTAATAAAATTTTCATCATACAACAAGTTTTCAACAACACAAAGTACATAACACCTCTTACAATCATTATACATCGTTATAATATTACATTACATACCGTTCCTTGTTGAATTCATTGTTGTAATTATTTGTTCTTAGTCCTCGTTGTAATTACTATTACTAATAGTTCAATGCCATAATTATTTTCCCTCACTCCTCGTTGTAATTATTATTATTAATTTTCAATGCATATAGGTCCCTACATCGCCAATATGAATCCCTATATCGCTAAACCCTAAAGGATAACCTAGTTCACTAATAGCCTGACGAGATCTCACATGTGACATAGCTACCCGGTTCATTGCGTTCGCTACTCTAACGTTGTGAAATACAGGTTTTGCACGATGTCATTAAGTATTGGTACAAACAGTGTCAATACAACCACATATACTTCCCATATCCCAACACGATGCTTCATCTGAATTTCCTCGTAGATACAACATCACTCTAGTCCAACCACCGCTAGGGCCTTATTTCAAAGTGGTCATCGAGAAAACCTTTCGAATCTTCTAAGGCTTAAGCTTTCTTACTTAAGGTATCTTTCAACACATAGAACACTACACCATCCATATAAGGTATACACCTAATTAAAGTTACTACCCTTACCCCTCTAAGTATGATCCTCACGATGTTGCCACAATTAGTTATGATTTTGGGAAATTATCTTAATAACTTAATCTTAAATGTTATATTTAAAGATAAATGATACTAAATATGCTTTGAATTGGATAAAGGCATATAACTTCGTAGCTGATTAACAAAAGGAAAGAATTGTAACAAAAATGGAGTTGATATTGCCATAAAACAGAAGACCGTGATGCGGCATTATTTGTTGGGATACATATATGTATAGATATGATGATGCTATATATATATATATATATATATATACATATATTAGACAAGATTGATTATCTACAATGAGAAAATAAACTATAAATAATATATATATATATATATATATATATATATATATATATATATATATATATATATTATATTTATAGTTTATCTTCTCATTGTAGATAATCAATCCTGTCTAAGTAAGTGTAAATAATATAAATTAGACAAGCTGATTTGTCAGAGTTTGTTTAGTTAGATAATCCAAAGATATGTGGATGTAAGTTCATATGTCGATGACTGAAGATCATCCCCTGATAAAAAAAAGACACTGAAGACACTATCAATATCAGAGGCACTGAAAGTATTATCATCATGTAGAGCATTCACTAAAGATTTGATCAATACGTCCATACGCTAAAGGTCTTACACTAATGACACACTGATCAGGTGATACACTGATAGTTATACACTGCTGAAGTTGAAACCACTCTAGTTGAAGATGAAGTTGCTCAGCATGTCTCCCTGACGCTAATGTTGTTGCCCTGACCAACATAACTCCCTAATGTTGATGTCGTGATCAGCATATGACATGCTGATGCTGATGTGCAAATCTGGAGCATAGCATATTTATTTTAGTGAAGATCTGATTTGATCCATTCCTTAAAATACCATATCTGCATTTATCATTGAAGATTCAATCCCATCAAATGAGGAATCTGTAATACTAGGTTTAGACTAGTATTTATACTAGCCTCTCTCATTAGTTGAGAGATGATGATTTTATTGTTTATGAGAGACAAAGTTTATGTATAGTAGATTTAGAGTTCTTAGTGAGTTCTGAATCATTATATTAGTCTTAATGAAAACCCTGATAAACAAAATTAGTTTTTATTTTTCAAATACTTGTGTTATTATTTTGTGTTTCTATTAGATTCATACACAAGTGTTGGAGTTTTGGGAATATCAAGTGGTATCCAATCAGGCTATAACACCCATTCTAGGATCTGTTGAAGATTAAGAATTTCAATCACTATTCACTCAAAAATCAAAAGAAGAAGAAGAAGAAGAAGAATAGATCTTATACAATCATCAAGATATGAAGAATACATCAGACATTCAAAAGAGAGAGTATGGTATGTTTTCTTATATGTGGTACTATCTAACTACATCTGATATGTTTGGTCCTAATAATGTCTCTCAAATGAGAGAACTATTCTTAAGTGGGAGGATCAAGAAATATACAAATCTTCATGGTGATAAAGAACAAAAGAATAATTTGAAAAATAAAAGGGTAATTGATGCAAGTCCTTTGTCATGTTTTCTTGAAATGATGTATGATCCAAAGGGACCTTTATCTGTTTTCTTCATGGCTGAACTAGATATAAAATACAAAGTCATCAATCAGAAACAAGAAGACATTGAAGTGTTGAAGAAATATTTGGTTGAAAGGGAGAAAGAGATATCAGATGTAAAGGAGAAAATTAAATAAAAAGGATGTTCAAAAGAATATTTTTTCATCTATTAGTGTTAAAAATGAAGGAAAACCTGATGAAAACTCATTTTCAAGAAACCCCAGTTTTCACACTGATGAACATCACAATAGCTCTTGCACTAACAAGCCTCATGCTGAAAAGTTTCCTATTGAGAAACCACAATGTGCTCATACTCGAAAAACATCATCAGAACGCATTTCCATTCTCAAGCGACCCACTCCCTCAGTTTCACCTCACACTAGAATGACTTCAGTTCACATTGGTGAGAAACCTCGTACTGCCACTTAAACTCGCACTGCAAAGACATCAGACGATGACAAATCAGTTCACCCTGATAAGGTTGTTCACACTACCAAGTTAGTTCATGCTGGAAAGTCAGTTCATGCTGTTAAGTCAAGTCACACTGATAAGACGAGTCTCAACACCAAGAGGGTTCACCTTTGAGATAAAGTTCGAACTGCCACTCTAGTTCATGCTGCCAAGAAGTCTCGTCCTATCAAGAACTCAAGATCCAGCTGTAACTTCGAACATCATAAGATCTCATGTTTGTAAGCTTTTCGATATATGTTATTGTTTCAATTGTTAATTTTACATGGCAAACCAAACAATGAAAAAGAAGTCAAAGTATACAAAGCCAAAGAAGGTATAGATTCCAAAGAAGCCATCTCTAGAACCAAGGAAGATGAATCAAGTTTGGGTTCCGAAGAGTACATCTCCTGAGCCTGAAACAAAGCCAATTAATGAAGTTAGAAAGAAAGATTGGAATCAAAAGTCTTCAAGAAAGAAGAAGATGGTGCTAAAACCTCAAGCTGGTTGTTTTACATTTGATCAAAAAATTTTAGAAGTGAGATATGCTCTCATACCCACTCTGAAATGGGTTCCGAAGTCTTTTTTTTTTCTTTTTTAAATCTGATGAATTGAAAGACTTTAAAATTTTGAAAGTTAATATTTTGATGTCTCTCATTAAGCAAAAAATATAAAAGAGTGTGTCTATATTTTATTTTATTTATGATGTTAAATGATTTTTGGAGGTTATATTGTGAAGTCTTCATTAAGAAAACAGGCTTTGCAGTTGTCAGATTGCTTCAAATCAAAGAAAATCTAGTTTTGATTGTTTGATTTGCATAAAAACGAAAGAAGTCACATCCTGTAAAAGTGATTGCGTGGCATGTCAAAGGATCCTATGGTCAATTCCTTTATGAGTTCACATAAAAATGAAAGGGTAGTGTTGCAGATATTTACATGTAGTTGTTTGGTCTATGATATTTTTGTGCTTTTGACTACCATCAGTGAAATGGAGCTTCTATCAAAATAAAAGATGCTGACAATTCAAAGGTTGGTATTTTTAATATTATAGTTGGGGATTTCTGATCAAAAGCAAAGATATGTTTTCGTTTGAAAAGAAGAATGAATTCCATAGTGTCATCAATATGAGAAGGAGAACGCATGGGAAAATAGAGTGCATAGGGAATTTTTGTCTTAAATGGTTTCAATATTTTTTTAAAAATAAAGAAAAAAAAGTTTTTTTTTCTTTCTTGTTTTGTATGTTTTCGAGCTTGGGAAAGAAATGGCTATAAAATCTTACTCTATCATAAGGGTTAACAAATTTTCAACCAATATATTGAAGCTGATTGGTATCTCTTGCTATTGTGCTTATTGATTATCTCTCATGTTGGCTGATAGTAACTCGCAATAGAGGTAGAGATTGCTATGTCTTTAATCATGATTTTCGGAGATGTGGGAAAATAGGGAAAGAAGATAACTGGAAATGATTATAATTTGAAGAAATTAACAAAATCAGAAGTAACTTATGAAATCATTGGTTGATCCGAGTTGGATTTTGTTGATTTAGAGAAACAACAATTTATCAAGACAAATTTGATGATCAAAACAAGAGAAAGCTTGAATGTACTACCTGCAACAAGAATTGTCACTCTTATCAAGTACTTGGTGAGCTTAGAGCAGGTCCCGACAAAGAGATTAAACTACAAATCTTCTAATATAGAACTTAATGATTCACTGTATAATACCATGCACATATAAAAGTTCAAAACTCTATGTCGATGGTTAATATATATATATATATATATATATATATATATCATAGTTTATCACACGCACCAACCTATTCTTGCTCTTAAACTCTTCTTAAAAGCTTTATGATTCAGTGTCAAATGCTAGACACTGATGGGTATAGCATGTACCATGATATATTAAACACACCTACCCACTCTCTCCTTTTTTTCTTTTAATAGAAGTGGTTAATGTTTCAACATATAAAACTATACGCAAATGAGGCTACACAAAACTATGTAAGTGATCTATTATTGCAACAACACAATATTGTGATACACCAAAATCTCTCTTATCCTTCAAATTTTTTGATGTTTTCTTTCATTTCAGGTTACTTGATGGCTTTTAAAAAAACAAAAAATAAAAATACAAATAAGACAATGATTATTGATGCTGTTAAAATGGGGGAGAAATGTTTAGTTCTGCTATGTTGTCACTTAATCATTCACAGAATAACAGACACTCTTAAAAGAAAATTTTATTTATCTAAGGGGGAACAGACCTTAAATGTTGTTTATCTGAGGGGAAGGAAAATTTAAGGGGGAGAAGAAATCAAAACATTACATCAACTATACTTATTCATTATTTCATTCTTTTTTAGTTTGGTTTTAAAATCATCAAATAGGGAGATTGTTGGGATACATATTTGTATAGATTTGATGGTGTAAAATATATACATTATAGTTATAGTTTATCTACTCATTGTAGACATTCAGTCTTGTCTATGTAAGTGTAAATAATATAACTTAGACAAATTGATTTATCATAGTTTGTTTAGTTAGCTAATCTGAAGATATGTTGATGGAAGTTCATACATCAAAGACTGAAGATCGTCCCCTGATGCGCAAAATACATTGAATATAGTATCATCATCAGAGGCACTGAAAGTATTATCGGCACGAAGAGCATTCACTGAAGACCTGATCAGTGTGTCCATATGTTGAAGGTCTTACACTGATGGCATAGTGATAAGGTGTTACACTGATGACACACACTGATGGTTATACATTACTGAAGGTGAATCTACTCTAGCTGAAGTGGAGGTTGATCAACGTGTGTCCCTGATGCTAACATTGATGCCATGAGTAGCATAACTCCCATGACGTTGATGTCCTGATTAGCGTATGATGTGCTGATGTTGCGGTCTAAATCCGGAGCATATCAGATTTACTTGGTGAAGAAGCAATCTGAATATCTGATCTGATCCATTCCTTAAAATATTAGATCTGCATTTATCATTGGAGATTCAATCCCATCAAATTGAGAATTTGATATACAGAAGATTTGGAGAATCTGTAGAAAGTTGATCTCCTAGGTTTTGACTAGTATTTATACTAGCCACTCTCATTAATTGAGAGATGAATTTTATGTAGAGTAGATTTAGAGTTCTTAGTAAGTTATGAATCATTGTATTGTTCTTAGTGAAACCCCTATAAATAAAATCAATTTTTATTTTTCAAATACTTGTGTTATTATTCCGCGTTTCTATTAGATTCATACATAAGTGTTAGGGTTTTGGGACCAACATTATTATATTTGTGTCACGACAAAGCATTAGAAGTTGAATTTGATTAAGAGACCTCATAAAACCACAATGCGGTAATATACCATTAGTGACATAAATCCCATGAATCTCAGCTCCTATAAATAGATGTCATCCTCTTCTAAAATCATAATGCATTTAAGTCACAACTTGGGAGACGAGTTTTTTATGAAAATCCAGAAGATCAAAAGAGTTTCAAGGATGAACAACATGACTAGAGAATCATTTTGAAGACCGAACCATGGAAACAATGTTTAATCATTAGGTTTGTTTTAGACATCATGCTTAGCAATACTTCCTTGATTATTTTCTGTTTTTCTAGCTATGATAATGGGCTAATACCCTTTTGCTTCCGCTTAGAAGTAGATCAAACCAAAATACTATGCTTTGATTTATTTGTTAGATTTACAAATTCGGATTATTTATTATGTTTGATTGATCATTTTAACTTATGTATTAACGTTACAATTTTTATTACCTACAATCGAATTTTATGTAGTCGAGAATACATTTGATTATATTAACTTGTATCTTAATAGTTAATGATGATAAACTATTAGGACTAGAAACACACCAAATCCTAGGATTAGGTGATATATTTATGAACTTAAACGTGTAAGAGAGTATTAGATAACCATAATACGATTTAACTGATTTTCATGACCATTAAGATTAATCATTATATCAATTCTTTCATAATTTGAATATTTAATTGATTAATTAGTTAGTTAATTGCAAGATCATTGTGTTAGTTGTTGTATAACTATTAATATTAGTTAATTAGACCAAGATAATTAGTCACATTAAGTATTGATAATTAACTTGTTAAATCCATTGCACTTCTAATAAATTAACCATTGGAAAATATAAGTGGAAGTACTTTAAAACTCTTGTTTAAATCACGTTCTTTGCTTTTGTTTGAGTTTTGTAAGTCTTTAATCAAGTTTAATATAGATCTAACACCCCCTTTTTTTGTAACGACCCAATTTTCACGTCCAAAAATTTCGTTTTTAAAACATTACTTTAGAAAACGTTAATAATTAAAAACATTGTTTGATCAACCACATCACATCGTAAACCATGTCTAAAAGCCAAATCATACAACCAATCAAAATATCAGAGTATAAATCCTAGGGAAATCTAATAGATGCGGAAACCAGCATGTGTGCATGATGTGCCGCTACCGTGCCAGCTCCTTCCCCTTCGATGAAGAGGTACCTGAAACCAAAACTGTAAACTCTAAGCACAAAGCTTAGTGAGTTCCCCCATAGTACCACATAACATACAATCACATAACATACATAAATTGACAAGCATATCTGGGTGCCCGACCTACCCCTTCGGTCCTCTCGACCGGATACTGCCTAGCATATCTGGGTGCTGGCCTCCCCTTCGGTCCTCTCGACCGGATACTGCCTAGCATATCTGGGTGCTCGCTCCCCTTCGGACCTCTTGACCGGAAACCGGGGACTATTTCACCCCTACTACTACTACCACATAACACATATATCACACAGTCTATCTAGTATGGTTGGGCGTGACCTCCCCTTCGGCCCTATCGACCGGTGTTCTGGGGGACTATCTCCCCCTACTGTCACTAACACATAAACATATCACAGGTAGTAGCAACC